CTGCTTGAAGCTGGTCTCTGAAGCAAATATGAAAAACAGTTTCATTTTTTGTTATGTATGTGTGCATATGCATGCTGAAATACCTGACACATACTCATTTGCCAAAATAATTCTCTTTACTAAAGCAAATTCCCGAAGGGTTTGGGAATTCAACACAGCACTTTTTCTGTGGATCATTGTCTGGTACCAGTAAACATCTAATCTATGTCCTGAGAAGGACCAGACCCAAGCAGCTCCAAATTGTGTGGAAGCTCAGTCAGAGTCTCAGATGTGTCCTCTTTGGACCTCAAGACCTGAATACAAAGGTAAAAATAGTTGAAACTCTGTGGAAGAAATTCTGCCTTCCAGTTTCTCCCCATTCCAGGTAATATAAGGTCTATCACATGTTGAATTTCACCAGTTTTTATCAACAGCAGCAGAAATGGGTTTGGGAGATTCAGAATCATCATTAACTATTTTTATCACTTATTAGTGTAAAATCATTTGTCTAAACACATGAACTCAGGATTTTCCTTTGTCTGGCTTCTTTCAGGTTTTCTTTATTCTGCGCAAGAAACAAGAACAGGTGACTTTTCTGCATGTGTACCATCATGGCACTATGCTGTTCAACTGGTGGTCAGGGGTCAAATATGTGCCTGGAGGACAAGGTATGCTTCCATAGACACCTTGTGTTTCAGTTTTTCTTGTGCTGTGGAGACAGCATAAACAGTGCAGATGGCCTGGCTGGCAGGTAGGAAGCTCACCTCCTTCCAAAGGTGTGAAAAACATGTGCGTTTCAGTTGATACCATCTGTTAGGCTCTTTGGGCTATTTAGACTGCTATATTCACTGCCTCATCCAGAAAGAGAATGTGCCAACAGAATGTGTCCAAACATAAACAATAACATCCTCTACAAGGTCTATATATAATCTCCACCCAGACCAGCGCTCCCTAGCTCCCTATTCAGCTGGGTCTGGTGCAGCAGCCCATGTTCTGGCTCACCATGTCCTGTTCTGTGTCCATCCTAGTCCTCACTCCTTTTCTGGTCTGTGTCCAGACTGCTTCTCCTTTTTGCTCTACTGGAAGAGAAGCATGTGAGTACTAGGCCCTATTCAAGATGCTGAGGTATTTTGGTTTTTTTGGGAAGACATTTTGGCTACCTGACCTTGACACCGAAAAGGTCTGAAACACTTAGGTCAGAAGATCAAGAATTCTCTCCTCTGCCTTTGAAGCTCTTCTCTGTCTCTTAACACTAGATACAGGATGGATATATGCTGAAAGGAGAACAGAGAATATGACGTGCTTCCTAAGTAGAGTCTAGATTGAAGGTTCATGCACAGAGGTAATATGATATATTTTGGAAGCATCATCATAGTGGCTGTGAGCTCACCACAGGGTTAGTCTTGAATGGTTTGTGTGTCTTGTTCATCCTGACCTCTTTACTCCTCAGCCTTCTTTATTGGGATGCTCAACTCCTTTGTACACATCTTCATGTACGGCTATTATGCCCTGGCCAGCCTGGGACCACAGATGCACCATTATCTATGGTGGAAGCGCTACCTAACCATCATGCAGCTGGTAATTAGTTCCATGTGTTCATCTCTGCACTTCTGTGTGTCGCATGTGATGGCCCCTGCTGTCTGTCCCTGTCCCCTCACTGGCTTAAGTCTTTCCATTTGCTGCCTGTGGAAATCACCATGTTCTTAGGTGTCCTCATGTACCAGTATGAAAGGTAAAATGATTGGTGACCTGCTCTGAATATTACTCTCGGAAAACAAGCAAGAGGCCTTCGGTGACCATATCAACTAAGAAGCCCCCACCTTTGTAATGGGAAGGAGAGTGAAAAATTAACAGTTACATTTCTCCCTTTTCTGTTGTATATGGCAGCCTTTTCCTCTCTGGAGCCCTGAAAACACAGCTTGATTTTGAGAGGTGTGGGGCAGTAGCCTGGGGAAACTTTAGATTCTTGGTGGGGCAGGAGATTGGGCAGCCTTCATTCTGTTTCTGTAAAAAGGAAGTGTATGTCTAACTGAAGGCAGACATAGGCAATTTAAAGAAAAATCTGTGAATTTTACTCTTTCTGTAGAGAATCCCTTTGGATTTTATTTCCCTCATCTCTGAAGAGGTGACAAATCCTGACAACCCTGTGGTTTTTCAAAGATACAGCGTAAAGGCAATGTTCCAGACAAGGCCAATGTTTATAGTTAAGCTTATATGAGAGTTAATTCCACACAAAGCGATGTTATGCAAACAAAAAGTATGCAGTCACCAGACAAGAGGAAGAAGAGCTACAGTATATGTAAAATAGTGGTGCGCTGAAGCCTTGTCCAGAATTCTTATCTATCCTCAACGGTGAAAGCAGAACAAGAAAGCATTGCATGAAAAAAAAAAAAAAAATGTAATGCAAAATATATCACAGGAAATCAGTTTTATTTAACATACTTTTGGTAGGTAGAACTCATTGCTTCAGGGTATTGAGATAGGTGACTTACCAAAATATAAAAAAAGGGATTAATGTTTAAAGTAAATAAAAGTAGCACCTGTAGTTTCTCTCTGTAAGCTAAAATACAGATCAAAATCATTATGGCTATAATAATCTGATTACCACTGGGGAAGAGGAGTCTCCCACCTTTAGTTTCTGTATTCCAAGATCTCAGTTACTGGCTGGTGGCAGAGAACTGGCACAAGGGCAGTGATCTGCTCCTAGGCAGGAGAGGCTGGATTCCAACCCTGCTCCCTGCAGCAGTGGACAAGCCTCAGTGTTTGGTGGACACACAACACCCTTTCATGTTGGGAAAACACTGTTGGGCTTGAAAGACAAATTCTTCAGGGATGTCAGGAGAGGCAAGCAGGTGATACTCCAGGTTGAGGACACTAGTAGTATGTTGTGATACTCTTTATGATAGCCCTAATGGTATGTCTCATGTAGGTTCCCTAATCTGGCTGCTTGTTTTTCCCCCCTCTTCCAGTGCCAGTTTGTAGCCATTGCTGCTCATTCTTCCTACAACCTCTTCACAGAATGCCCGTTCCCTGATGGCTTCAACACTGCAGTCTCCCTCTACATTCTCAGCCTCATTGCTCTCTTCTTGCATTTCTACTGTTGGACCTACATTAAGGGAAAGCAGGAGAAGCTAACTTAAAGAAAATCAAAGAGGAGAGTGAACATGGTCTGGTGAACTTGCACATTCTCTGCTGCTTCTAACATGATTGCATGAAGAAAATGTATTTGGGGAGTGTGTGTGAGGCTCATGTGTTCAGACTCAAGTTGCCTTCAAATATGTCAAGTTAGGAGGAAAAAAGGAACGATATAAACTCAAGAATTAAAGTATTGAGAAGCACACTTAATTAAGCTGATGTAAAGCCAAGCCAAGCAATCATCAGCATAGCAGCCTTTGTGAAATTAGCACCAGAAGATCTCCTCCTTCCTTTCCATCTATTAGCTTAGTTTGCAAGGTCTAGTATCCATCCATGACTCCTTGGGTCTTAGGCTACAGAGGGTTTCTTCGCATAGTTCATAAGACTATCTCAGCTTGCCATTCTGGATCAGGCAGAGTCAGGTGCCTCCAGCCTTGCAAGCAGTGTCCAGGTAACAGGAGCAGCAAGGAACTCACTGGAACTGCAGGATACACTCACCTGTACGCTGCATCACAGCCTTTCCCATTAAGGAAGCTCCCACTAGGACTGAGGTGAATTACAGCTATATGGCCGTGATGGTTTAACTTTATGTTAACATAAGCATGAAGGAAATCAGACATTGTGTTGTCCAGCTGGACAGGTGCATCTGTTCCTTCGCTGTTCTGAAGATAAAGAAGGCATTATTAGCACTTTCATCCTAAGTAAGAAACTAATGCAGTAAGAAACATCATGTACCATTTTCTGGAATGCTTATTTGCCTTTGGTTGCTCTCACAACAATAGAGAACTTTTAATACATGACGACTACTTGGCATTGGTCCTTATAGATGCTAATACTTTTTAATAGAAGGAATATAGATTGAGGTTCCCTATTAATAACTTTTTTCCTCCAATTTGCTGTTGTTGTTACTATTAGTATTATTATTTTAAAATTTTTCTTCTTATCAAAGATAAAAAGTTTTACACTGCCTAAGCAACCTCCTCCACTACCTAACTGTACAAGTATACAGTAGCAACTATAAACATCAGTATGTTATCAGCCACCTTCTCAGCACAAATCCAAAACACAGCCTCTTACTAGCTACTATGGAGAAAGTTAACTCTGTCCCAGCTGAAAACAGGACAACCTACTACATACACATGTATAAGATAAAACAGTATTCTTCCATTTCTTGTCCTCCTCCCCTTCACACACATACACAAAGGATTTGTTTACACCACCACAATGATACAACAGAAATGTCATTCCATTGATTTGAGTAGTCTTTCTTCTCATTTTCACTGGTGAGTATGAAAAGCACAGCAGGGCTTATTTTACATCTATGTGCTAGCTGTTTTTCTTTCTGTCAAATATTTTTCCATGCTACTTACATAAATTGTACTGCTTTTACATACTAGAATGTTACTTTTTTAGAGCTTTAATAAACCTCTGTGTGGGTCCTCCATTCTTCCCTTTATTTAGTAAGGCAGGAAAATAAAATCTGCTGTGTATCTAACATACTGTATTCATGTTGAGGGTTTCCCCAGAGGCCTCTCCAGAATTGAAGGCTTAGTGCAAGTAAAGCTGTTTCATTACTCCTATCCACTTAATGATTCACTTATGACCCTATCCTGCTTAAACCATTTGGCCCCCTAGTTTCGTGGTAGAGCATACTTTCCTGCAGCTGGCTAAATTATCCGTGCTTACAAAGAAATCTAATGAATTTAGCTCTCTTTCCTATATGTGAGGTGATCATGAGTAGGTCTCAACCTCAGTTTCCCCTCACGTAAGCTTTTTCTGATTGTAGTTACTAATTTCAAGGGCTTCACTAATAATTTTATACCAGAGTAAGTATCATCTGTTTTCATTTCCTTGATTCATTCAGAATTCGTGACTGCTTAAAAATTAGAACTGAATAGGAAATTTGGATGAGATTAGTCAGTGTTTTTGACTAATGCAAATCCACTCCTTTTTAAAATATATAAATTTGTAAACATGTAATTTGGGTTTTTTTTAAAGCAGTCTGTGCAGCTTAATTTCTGTCTTTGTACGACAGCTTGCTGCAATGGATTCTGGACTCTGGCCACATAGCTGGTAACAAAATACAAAAGTATGAATTTGCCACCTGACAACTTGAAGTAAGTGACTGATCGCCTAAATCACACGCTACTGTTTAACTATTTGTCCTAAACAAGCAACCTTTGATCTATCTATTCCTGTCCCTCTTCCTCACAGCCTGAATGGCTTGATCTTGCACTTCTGAACTGCTAAGAGCTTTTTGTCAGTGTGACTTCAATGAGTATAGGATGAAAATGGAGTATTTTCAGTTGGGTGACAAAGAGGAATTAAGTTTGCCTAGAAACACCGTGCTTTCTATACAGAAATAGATATTGGTGTGGAGTATAGCCATTAACGAAAACATCGATGCAAACAAAATTCGCTTGTGAGATTATTTGCACGCTAGCAGTGAATGTTTGCACCTTCAGATCGCACTACCTTGCCTTCATTCTTCTGGTTTAAATTGGGTTATCACAGTTGGTACCGTCCATTTGGGGCATCCTGTTGTGATGAGCAAGAACCTGAGAGTTGGTTTAAATTGGGTTATCACAGTTGGTACTGTCCATTTGGGGCATCCTGTTGTGACGAGCAAGAACCTGAGAGCGGAGATATGTGCTCCTGGAATTTAGAAAAGAATAAAGAAACAGGATGAGATTTCACCTTTAAGTCCCTAAAGATTACATCACAGTAATGCACTGTAAGTCAAAAGGGCTGGAAATTACAAATTGCAAGTTTGGATGATTCATGCTATCTGGCAAAGTCCAAAGCTTTGAGGTTGAATTGAAAATATCCTGTCGCAGCTGGATTTGTAAAAACCTCTGGGACAAATGCTGATTCCACCAACATCAATAGCAAAAGCCTGCAGATTTCCCTGTGAACAAGATGGCACAGCTATGTGAAAAACAATGCACTCAGCTACACAGTTCAAGCTTAACAGATGACCTTTAAGGGCACAGTTGTCTCCCCCTTACAAAATGAGGGTCGTTCTGCATTCTTAGAGTAGTTTACATTCAGAAGATGTAAAGCATAATGCAAGTAGTCTGTTTAAATGAATAAGCTTGATATCTGGTAGTGTTCAGCATCTTTTCTGCTGTTCAAGTCCATGTAAATTATGAATGTTCTGATCAAATTACTTTTGAATTAATCGGACCATTTACTCAATGCCAACTTTCTCTCTGAAGATAAATTAAAGGGATTCTCATTTTAATCAAAATAAAATACCGAAAAGAAAATCAATTACTATTTAATGTTTTTCTCCATCAGTGTGTGATCAAAAGGTTCAGAAGAATTTGGGCTTAAAATTGCAAAACAACATAAAATGCAGAAACAGGGTTGGGTTTTAACTATTTTTTTTTTTTGTATACTATAGAAAATATGGCAATGTGTGGTGTTTTTGAAAAGGCAGAAGAATTACTTTAAACAATTCATTAAGCAAAACCAGGATACAGTAGATTGCTTTGTATAATAAATAAAAATCTGTTGATACAGATGTAGAACAACTCCAAGCCAAACACTAAAAAAGATCAGCTGACCCTATATATAGAACAGTGTGAATTTGCTGAATTCATTAATGAATAACTTCATGGATTAAGCCTTGATAGATAGAGTGCTCACATCCAGATGTTTACTGTGATTTGTCAATGGCCAGTACTTAATCCTCCTGAACGGGAAATAAGAGTCTTTTCTCTGGAGTCTCCCTTGGGGACTGTGGCAGTCACTCTCTGGCCTGAATCATCTCAATATAGGATCAGGCTGCTGGGGAATTAACCAAGTGGAGGAGGCACAGATTTGCCTTTAACTCCTTCAGTTTCTTCTTGGCTTGAGATGACTTCCTCATCATCTGCCATGATGGGAATGTTATTTAGTCAACACATGGAGAAGAAAAAAGAGTCACCCATGTCATCCCACAAGGCACATTTGTGGGGCCCCTGTCCCCACAAGATGTGTCAAAGCAGACACGTCTAGTCCCACCACCACTGCAGGGGAGGGCTGTGGGCAGATCCAGCCTCTAGATGCTGGTGTAGGTCTCTCCACATTTCAGCATCATATTTTTATTTTGGTAAGGCTGCAGCTTCCCAGCCACTGTCAGTGATAGGAATGGCCCAAGAGGGAGTATTTGTGAAAAGACTGGATGTCTCAAGGATGTCCTTAGTCAGGTATAGTGGAGTGTGTATAGTGGAGTGTGTATAGTGTGCATGGGTAGATGAATGCAGGCTCTGCAGACTACCTCAGTTTCTCATTTCTTAGCATGTGAGACTCCTACAGGGGATGGGTCACTCATTTTGCTGTATGCAAGTGTCCCACTGAGTGACAGATCCCAGCAGCCACACTGTTGCCACTCCTGCTGTGTAATGGTGTTGGGTGCTGCTTATCAGCCCATGACAGCTTGGATCAGACAGTTGGATCTGTCCTGGTACCCAAGAGCAGGGGGGAGGCCAGTGTAAAGCTGAAAATGCAGCAGAAAAGAGAGGGCAGTTACAGAAGTCTCATCATTAAACAGGTCTGAGCGTGGGCAGGTATTATTCATGTCCCTGCCATGACACTGTGCAGGGCATCAGGAAATGGTCCTTCTCCCCATGGAGGGGTTGGTAAGGTAGTATTGGGGATGCTGTCTGCCTTTAGGTGAAATATAACAGAATCTCTAGCTTGGGCAGTGTTTCTTCTGCAAAACTTGAGTGAGCCTCTCATAGGTGTGAGCTGGTAAGTAAGGAATCTTAAAATAATTGCATTTAGGTAGCCCCTTGATGCTGCCTAACCAGGGGAGTCCCATTCACAGCCTCAGGAGAAAACCTGCAAATGAGGCTGCGGGGCAAGCCAATAATGGTCCTGTGTGGACCAGGTGGGGGAAAAAAAGCAACATCCCAGTCAGAGGGGATGGCAAAAGGCATTATAATTGGATTATAAGAACTGCGTGGCAGTAGGAGCTGGAGAGAACAGTAGGTTCTGGTGTGGATGTACCGGAGTGCAT